ACAAAATTACATGAAACTTTCAGATATTAGAGTATAAATACTCAGAATGATTTTAAAATTGAAACAAAGTGTTTAGTAACACTACTCGGCCTTTGAGAAGTGTTTTCGTTGGATTCTCATGATTAAAACTTGCTAATTAGTTTTAGTAATGCATCAGTCAATTCCAGCATTGCCCATCCCCCCCCCGGGCAACCCCCGGGCATTTGCACTTTTTTTTCCTTTAAGTTGACAATTCCCGGGGGTCGGGCAGAAAAAGCTTGGCAATGCCCCGCCCCCGGGCAAAAAAAAGATGACAAATGCCCGGCCCCAGGGCACACTAACTCATTTATAGAATGTATTTTAGACCTCGTAAGACTTCCACAACAGTATTAGCTTCCTTGTATATAAAAATCTACAGCAAGCATCCCAACTTTTGAACATGAAAAACGTCCTCGTCGGTTCAGTGGTTAATATACAATAACGTAGCAAAATAAACAAGGATTGTGCTATGAATTCTAGTGTTTTTATGCTAGATAGTCAAATACGACTTTAATTAGTTTCTCGTGTGCGATTGGTGTGACGTTTTGGGAATGAAAATAGAACATTATCTTAATATCATAGCTTTATATCAGCATTAAATTAAATAGAAGACAATATGAATGCTGAGCAGGCCATTGGAAAACCTTTAACGGAAATTGGGCTTTTATTTAATAATTTTATTTGGTTAATATTAACAATATAAACGGGAATGTGTATTAAGTTAAACAATAACATTAATTTCTAGCTGCAGTATTTCAATATTAAACCAATTCATAGTGTCGACTGCACGTTCATTGCCATTGGTGGGATTGTCATTTGAATCCGCATAGTTGCATGCTTTAAATTATAAAATTATTTTGCTTTACATTTAATGACAAGTGATGGTTTAACAGTCCAATACTTTGATGTGCACATTTTAATCCCTAGTCTCAGTTACATTTTCAGTTGCAATTTTATGCCAATGCAGAACGGGTATTTGGATGCGTAATCGACAGTTTAAATTGGCTGATTAAGGTGTAGACAAATACATCTATATAATCAATGCACACAAGTGCGAAAAGCATGAAATCACCTGTAATTTTTCGTCTTCCCATTTTACTTTGCGCGCTTGTCCTTAGTTGCGGGCGTGCGCCTAAAGGCGTGCGTTTTTATCGGGCTTGCAGTGCACGCGCTGATCTATATATTACCGATATTTAAAAATTTAAATATAGAGGAGCCTGCGGAGGAGGCAGTGAAATCACCTCAAGTCGTAATACAGCAAGCACTAATCAGCAAACCTCTGTACCTACCACGTGCACGCCCAAGAGAATTCAGAATCATTCATATTTTCCATTGGGAATTGCAAAACAAACGGCAGCTACAATCAGTATACTAATAAACACCTTAAATGAGGAATACCAATTTTTACTATGTGCACTTGAATGGATTGATTATTGCCTCTAACAAGCTAATTGGACAATGATTTATAGCAAACCATCACCTTTACTCAAAAGTTTTAAAAGTGCAACACTGTTTCTTAACGTTTGCTTTTGTTTTTTTGGCGGGTGACCTTGGCCTTCTCAGCACCCTGTTTCCTGTTTTGAGTAACTTGCTTTAGGTGATCAAGCCAAAGTTTCACATCTTCCGGGGAAAGCAGACATCGTCGTGCAAGCTTTTCAATATCATCATCTGAAAGGTTTGCGTCCTTGTTTTCTCTGTAGAACTCTTGGATGATTTGGCTTGGAGGCAGCGATCGTATGGCTTTGCCTTCAGAGAAAAGTGTCACATACTCCTTAATATCAGTAACATAATGTCCAAAACAATTTCCCGCGCATTGTTTGCACTCTGTATTATACGGCGGTCGTTTTTTGTCTAAAACTGGGTAGGGAAACAACAAAAAGGATACTCCATCAGAAGACCATTTTGCTGGAATGGGCAGATCCTTGATACCTACAATATTGAATCACATTTATATTTATTCATATCATAATCATTTGCATGTTATACATTACCTGAAATTCTAAATTATTTCTTGGACAAATTGGTAACAGTCATACAAATATATGTTGCAAGCATACCTGGAATTTTGCATTCAGGGCACACAAAAGGAACATGGTCCTTCTCCATTAATTTCCCAGCTTCTTCACTAATGTTCAAACAATTTCCATGTAACCAACCACCACATTGGTCACAAGAGATCATAAATCTGTAATTGAAATGATTAAAATTAAATAAAATTCAATTCAATTTTATAGAGGTGTACACAACACAGACGTGTTACTGACCTTCCTTTTTCCTCTGGTCTACCACAGATACAATACGTTTTTAACCTAGATTCTTTGCTTTCGGGTAAATTTTCAGATGCTAAAAACAAAAACCTTGAAATTATGTAGTGAATTATTATGAGTTTTCTGTACTTTCTTATATTTTTTTTTACCTTTGATACATAATGGATGCGGACATCCTTTCCTGCCACAGCATTTCAACATAAAGACATAATTGAGGGGAAAACTTTCATCTATGTGGTTGTTTCGCACCTGCCAGATCTCTGTAAAGTATTTGAATAGCGTTGGATTATTCCGTCTTAGTTTCTCCTTATCTTCCTTTTTACCTTTCAGAAACGTTAAAAGCTGAGATCGTCGCGTAGTAAAAATATGGCCTTCCGCGCCTCTCGTTAGGTGGATATTCGTTTTCATGCAGGCTGTGCCGTCCACTCGTTCAATATATTGATTAACTGCTGCAGACATGTTGTCTTTGTATTTTTGTTCATCCAAACCGCCTTCACTGTTATAGGGAGAGCCACAAAGTGTTGATGGTATAAAGGTATTACTGTGGCCCTTGCTGAGGCAACCGTTCTGCAATTCTACACGGTTGAGATAGCTATCTCCACTACATCTCGTTGTCACCATGGTAACTTTTGTTTGTTTTGTTACATGACGCTCCGTCCACAAAAATTGTACTTCGTGATGAGATGGGCCTTCATCGCCCCCACCATCGACTCTAATACACTCGATTTCCTTTGGTCGGTCATTTTCAAAAAATGCTTTCTTCACAACATCCAACTGTTCAACACTTTGAAGATCAGCGGCATGTTGAGACGGATTTTTCTCATGTAAACCTGTGGCCTTGACAACTCCTATACAAATTTCGTCAGAAGTTGTTGTTTTGGAAAAATTATAACTAGTTACCTGAAGTTGTGCAGCATACTTGCTGGTAAAATCAGTGTGAGTGGTAGCAGTTGGTTTAATAGATAGTACAGGTTGGCTCTTGTGTGTATAAGTAGAGTCCAGTCTGAAGCCAGCCTGGTCATCCCGATTAAGTAGTAATATATATTTGCCATCATTCTGGAGTTGATTGAGCAATTTGTATAATGAGCGACTCCATTTAAAATCAGGATTGAATTTCAACGTAAAATTCTTTCTAGCCCTTTGATACCTTACATTTGCGACGCCTTTATACCGTTTACTTGATAGCCGCCTTTTGTGCCTGCAGACACAGAGCTGGACAATAGTCCCATAGCTGAAACGTGTACCATAGTGATCTTGCAATTTTTCTCTTATCTTACCGAATGTGACGCGTTTTGATTTTTTCTGACTACCAGTAAATGTATACACCCCTGTCCTGCGCCAGCTATCGGCACCAATATCGCTCTCTTGGACAAAATTTTCGATAACATCTCCAATGTCTGGATACCTATCAATGATGGTCTTAGTAGAGTGCGAAATCTTCTTGCGCAGACATCGCTGCTCGGCAATCTCTTTCTTTGATTTCTTGAGGAACTTGTCATTAATCTGTCTCAGTTTGATTTTTATAGCATTGCTTTCCTCTTGGGATGAAATCTCGGTGTCACTTTGTGCATCATCACTCGAATCAGCCAGACAATCGAAGTTCCTAACTAAATCAATATCTTTTTGTCGTAGCGTTTCCAAGTAGGATATTCGTGACTGTTCGGTCAGTCTCATTTCTTCATCACTCAAACACAAGTTTGGTAATTGTGCAGCAAAGTCCGTTAAAACCTGATCAAATACTGCTAAACTATAACCTTTGTTTTTAAAGTGTTCCTCAAGTAATATAACAAACGAAAACCAGTTCCAGGATGATTCTTTTAAAATCTCTAACACAACAACATAATTAACCTCAACTGCTTCTAACTCAGAATTTTCTTTCTCATCATTTTCGCTGGCAGAACTCTCGAAAGATACTTCTTCATCATCACTATCATCAGAGCTATCAGAATCGTTGAATTCGGAGTCACTTGTCAGGACATTTGCAGGATCAAGTCCATATGAAAGCAACATAGTTTTCTTTTGCTCTTTAGCTAGCGCCATATTTCTCTCTTTTATTTCTTTTGCAATTCTTGAAGCTTCATTGACTTTCACTGCTCGTTTCCTAAGGAGACTTATGCCATACAATCTACTGGCTTTTCTTTTTGACAAGTTACTACTACTGCACAATACATGCTTTAAAATTTCTTTCTCAGGTTCACTTTGTGCTACATGACAGAGCAGGTTGTCATACTCTTCTCTGGATGTGTGATCAGTTTGCTTTGATGAATTACTGGAAGAAAAGTCTCTTATTAATGATTCGTAATCGGATATCGACCCATTTAACTTTTTCTCAACTATGTAAATTCTTCCATCAATTTTTAAGGCTGCCAATGGAATTTGCAACAGTCTCTTTTGTGCCTTTTCGCAATCATAGGCCATACCAGTAAAACATTTGTTCCACAAGTAGGACAGTGGCACTATTTTTTTTTCAAGTACAATTTTCCCAGCTGTGACCATGTTATTACAAGTACATGCCATACAGTTTTGATGATTTTGAATGCACTTTGCTTCCTTTGTCATCACATACTGGGAAAGGCTAAACTCTTCCATCAAACTAACTCTAATAGTCTCAGATAACCTTTGCCGTTTTAAGTCAGTAAGATTCTGTGTTTCCTGTTTAGAAAGGGTATTTATAAGTTGGTTTAATTCTGTTTCAGGTTGTTCCCCCAGAGTAAATGTCCTCTGGGGATTCGAAACTATAAAAAATGATCACTGTTTTCCTCATTTCCTCTTACTGCAGAAATTATTTCTTCAGTGCTTTTCATTCCCGTTTGGCACTCCTTAGCTTGATCTACGTCACCTTCACCAACAGACTCCTTCTCTGTGACAATTTCATCAAAAACGCTAATATTACTCAGCTCTTTATAATCTACCCTCCTCTCTTCACTTCCCACCATTCTGACTTTTTCATCGGCGACAGATGTGCTATCAACTTCGACTGTAACATTTTGCACTGATCTGACTTCCAAACCGTCCAACTCTTTAACTACAGCCGTTTCTGAAGTACTATCTATCAGTTCAACATTATCACCAAATTCATCTATGTTATCAAATTCTTTACCAACTACAGTCCTGGTCTGTCCAACTTTCTCAATAACCATTGAGCTTATCACAGCTTCCTTCTCTTCACAAAACTCAACCTCGTTTCCTTCCAAATTCTCATCTCCAATCACCTCAGTGTACCCTTCTTGTAAATCTAACTTTCTCTTCTTTATCATATATCTATCATCATCACTACTTAAAATAGTAAGAGTGTCTTCACTGTCATTACTGGTATTAGATGTAGTACATGTACTAGTAGTAGCACAACTGAGATCTGAGTCTTTCGACTTAAAGAAGGACATTATGTCCCTCTTGCATGCAGCTGTTGTAGAAGGGCCCCCCTTGATCTCTGTAGTGCTTCGATTTGCAGCATACCGTAAATGCCTTTTTACTTTTTTCTTCAACTTATCAAGTTTATGTTCAGTTTTTCCTTTTTCATTTAAAAGTGAACGCAACTCTTTGTGCAACTTGGAACAGTGTTCATAATTTTTCAAATTACTAGCAGCTGTGATTTCTTTTCGTTTATTTTCACATTGCTCTGTTAACGATTGCAGGTTGATAGAGCACAATTTAATACCTTCCTCTCTGCCTTCAGCTGACATTTTTACTCTCTTTACATTACAGTCGACAACATATCTTGACCTTGAGCCACATTTCTTTTGAAAAACAAATGTCTTTCGTGCATCTTCCTCTGCTGCATTTTTTAAAAGGGCCCTGTCGTACATTTTATCTGGAGATTGTTTCACTATATTATATGCGGCATCATTTACGGACTCCTGCCATTTAGATAATTTAGCATTTCTCTTATTTCTACCATATATTTTGGATTGCTCCTTGATTATATCATCACTCAATGGTTTTGATGATTTACTCTTTTCAGTTTCTGGGGAAGATATTAAATTTGGTTCAACCTCAGGAATTTGAGGGGCGCAAGAAGACAATGTTTTATCACATTTCTTAAGTTCATTGTATTTTTTCTGAAATTTGAGCAGGAGGCCCTGACTTTTAATCATCACTTGTAAAGAAGCATCATTCATGAGACAAAATGCATCACCATCGATGTCATTTTCTAGGAAGAATGACAGCTGACAATTAATTTTTGAAATAAGTGCATTTTAAATACCTTTGACACTAGTTACCTTAGTCCCTAAATATTCCAAATTTTTGCAGACTTTCCTGTAACAGTGTCATAAAATAGAAAAATGCACTCCAAATATCTTTTTAAGTTTAGTACAATTAAGAACAAAAGCACTAAAATGCAAATTGGCCATTTCAGTTCACATGTCAAAACACCTTTGTTCAGCCAGTAGTGAACAAAAATCTATTGTGACATGTGATATGAAATGGTCAATTTGCATCTAATTGTCATGAAGGCTATTAAGTTTGTCTATTAATTATAAATAGTTTGACATTTGAACCA